GAGGAACCACCGTCACAGAGGGTCGTAACACACACACACACACACACACACACAGATGAATCACAGGGATGTTAGGAAGTATTTCTTCAGCCACAGAGTAGTCAGGAAGTGGAATAGTTTGGGAAGCGATGTAGTGGAGGCAGGATCCATACATAGCTTTAAGCAGAGGTATGATAAAGCTCAAGGTTCAGGGAGAGTGACCTAGTAGCGACCAGTGAAGAGGCGGGGCCAGGAGCTTGGACTCGACCCCTGCAACCTCAACTAGGTGAGCAAAACTAGGTGAGTACACACACACACACACACACACACACACACACACACACACACACACATATACACGCACACGCACACACGCAAACGCACGCACACGCACACGCACACACAGTCTAGCACCCAGGATTCCTACCAGATCTGTCTACGTCTTGAATTCCTACTGATACAAAAGCTAGCCTTCACTATAACTTAGATGCATAAATTCCTATCAAAGGGACTGAATTATTTTATCTCTTACTATTTTTCTTTCTTTAACGCACCGGCTGTCTCCCAGCGAGGCAGGGTGACCTAAAAAGAAAACCAAGCGAGTTTTCTTTTTCACATATAGTAATTTATATAGGAAAAGGGGTTACTAGCACCTTGCTATATTATTATATTTGAGGGGGAAGTTCTGTACTCGTAGGCATTATATATATTTTTGAGGTGTCACTAGAGGCAATGAAATATTGTTACATTCATAGATTACTTTTATTTTGTATGGCCATAGCGGCTAGTTTAGTGAGCACTTGCAGCTCATCCTGCAATTGGTAGCCAAAAATAACATAGGTCATGAAGGGCTATTAGACTTAACTAGACATAGTTATATCTTCAAAGACATTGCAGTCATTTCTTATATTTCAGCTTATTTTCATAGCTGATAAGAATATACAAAGGCAATTTCAAGAAAACTTTTGTAATCTCACCAAATAACAGCTCATTCACTCAGCCGATGGAAAATATGGACACAGTCCCGCCCTCACACTGTCAGAGTTGAGGAAGTCATAAGAGTAGATAGTCTGCTGAATTAGACACATGTGCAACATCTGGGTATCTTTATTCTGAAGATACCCAGATGTTGCACATGTGTCTAATTCATTGTGTGAGTGTTATATATCATTGATGTACACGTAGTTTGTGATGACATTTTAATACATAAATAACCCGCACATAGAGAGAAAAGCTTACGATGACATCTCGGTTCGACTTGGACCATTCACATGACTTATAAATGGTCCATGTCGGACCGAAACGTCGTCCTAAGACTCTCCTATTTGCGGGTATCTGTGTATAGTTCCTGCCACGGTATTGTGTCTTTTTGCTCATGACATTTTCAGTCTGCCGGTCGTGTATGTGTTCATAACGATGAGGTCTGTACATTGTTTCCTGGGAGGGTAGGTAGGCATGGTGATATTAAAAACTGTTATCTGCCAGGGAGAAGGAACATGCTGTTGTTTCCTTGCGTGATTCAGTTCACGTATTCAACTAAATTTTTATGTGAGCGTCTGTTATTGGAATCCATTTGATTCTCTTCCTCCATGACTTATTTATACATTCTGTATGCATAGAAAAGAGCTAACTCCGTTTGGGTCACATAGCGCTCTGGGAATGGGAGGTAATTGGGTTTATTCCAGTGAAGGAGAGGGTAACTCCACTTCATTGGATGAGGAACCCTTCACCAGCGGGATATACACCTCTCGGTGTGCATCCCACTATTTATTCTTCCTCATACAAAAGTCCTGCTGCCTTTATACGGAGCTAGCGCTGTTAAACTAAGACTAAATGTTTCTTTATAGGAGGATATCATAACAGTGTAAATGACTTGCTGTGTTAATGGGCCATCCGCGGTTGACAGACCATAACCCAAAGAAACTATCTAGCAGTTTGCCAGCCGTTGCCCCCATGTAGAACAAACGCGGACACAAATGCCGGTAAAAGAAAGTCTGAACTTACGCTCTCTGCTTTAAAGGTTTGCATCATGCAAGCTATGGTGACATTGCCAGGCTCAGTGAACACCCGCTGAATGTGTGGACACGTCTGTGTACTGGAAGACGTGCTCTTCTTTACCACCTGTGGCTCTTTAATGCGGAGACCACAATGAAGTTTGTGGTGGAGGCTGGAGGTAATTTCCTGCCTCACTGCTCCAGTGAGTCTGCCTGGTGCCAGCGGGAGCCTCAGGTGTTGCCAGTGCCAACCCATTAATCATACACCATCGACCTCCGATGAGATAAAATGATCAAACACTTTTTAACGGAACATTTTGCTTTAATTCCTAGATGCATTAGAGTAGACGTGAATTTAAACATGAATTTAAGTTCTGTTTCACACTGGAAAGCGACATGAAGCCCGCTACAGAGACACTGAAAATTTTGTTATGTAGATAGCAGAAGTGGTAATGTTCCAGGAGACAAACACTGGGGGGGGGGGGGGGTGGGGGGGGGCAAGCACAGAAGTTGGATTTTTTTCCGTA